GCAGCTGTCTTCTGAAAACAAACAAAAACAAAAAACTGTAAGGGTAAAAATTAAAACAGCTTAGCAGAGACCACAAACAACTTGGCAAAGACCGCAGGACAGCTTGCTGAGCTTACTGAGAGTAGCCATAATAAAAATATCAAGCCCCTCTAGGGACGAGGTGACCAGAAATGTAGAAACAACCAAAGACATATCTTGACCAGTCTAAACATGCCCAAGTGAGTAATGGGCCACCCAGTGTTTATCCTAGAAGGTCTGAGGCTTCATGGTCAAAAATAGTGGGCCATCCAGCCTGTCAAAATGATTGCTTACGCAAAGTGCTAATGTTTGAAATATCCAATCATATGTAACCGCGCCAGAATTTCCCACTTTTCCCTTCCCCCTTGTGCCTCCCCCTATAAAAGTTCTAAACTTCCTGGGGTCTTCATCGAAATTCTCTCCCCTGCGTGGGATGAGTTTCGATCCAAGGGCCCTTGTTAGTAAACTGCCTTTTGCCATTGCATCAAGTAAGTCTCTCGTGTCTCCTTGGGTGCGCGCTAATTGGGACTTGAGTTGGGGTCCTCTTCCTGGGTCCTTACAAAACAAACAAACAAAAAACCCAGCTACTTCCCAGTCAAAAGCACCGGCATCCGGGTACTCCAGCTCTGACTGATCAGACTGGCCAGAACTGGTGCAGCCATCCATCCCAGGCACCAGGAACAAATTATCTATGTCTTAGCCTCCTGCTCCTGTCTCCCCACCAGAAGCCAGCAATGCTTAGGGAGTGAGCAGCTAGAACATGCCTGGGCAGGCAACAGCCTAAGTAGCAACTATGACATTGAGTGAACCCGGAACTAAGGCAGGATTCCTCAGGATAGGCTGAGGGAAGCTTGTATCCACCTCTACAGGAAGACAGAAGGCAGCCAAGATGCTATGCATGGTAAGAAAAAGATGGAGTAAAACAAGGTTGGCCACGAGTAAGCATCCAGATGCCCTGGACTACCTAACTTTCAGCCAGTCACTGCACTTGTTCAGAACTTTGTAATCTAAGTCCAGCTGCCTTTTAGCCCTTTGTGAGGTACTCAATATGCCTTGGTTTCTTCCAAGCTCTGTTCTGAGATCTGAGACAACATCTCTCAATCTCCGTGACCTAGGCCAGGGCTCTGTGTGACAAGGATCAGGGCCGGTATGTGACCAGGGTAAGAACTCAGAGTCAGACCAAGATCAGAGCTCAGTGTGTGTAAACAGAATCAACACTCAGGTAATAATGAGTCCCTGTGCTCGGCTGTGACCTGGATTTGAGGCTCAGAGTGTGACAATAACACTGATCAAGATCAGGGCTCAGCTGTGACCAGGATAGAGGCTTAGGGTGTGACCAAGGTCAGGGCCAGTGAGACCAGGCCCTAGGTTCAAGCGTACCTGGAAGTCATGACACTCATTATGGATTAACGAGTGATGGCCTGAATAGGCCTTTGCCTCACTATCTCAGCGTCTTATCTGGTAAAACAAACAATTTCTTTGCCTTCTTCTGGCTTCTGGAAAGAGCCTGTTGCTACTTGCAGAACAAAACCACCCCAAAGGGAGCTTCTGGCTGCCAGGGCGGCAGCCGCTCCCACTGGGACCTCTTTGGATATGGGAAGGGTAGTGCTTGCCCCATAGCTCCTTTACAAACACGAAACACACCTTGAGTCCCTGGCCTTCCATAGGCACCGACACATTTTCATATCAACTTTCCCTTTTGTAATATTTGTAGATTCACAAAGAATTTGAAAGCCGGTATAGCTACCTTGTTCCCACATTCCCCAGTCCCAGCTTTCCCAACTCCTGCTCCTTAGATTCCCGTGATCTGTCCACTAAGGTTAATGACTCAGCACTGGCCCATGTTTTTATGTGATTTTATTTGTTCTACCTAATATCCCTTCTCTGCTCCAGAATCCTACTAAGGGTCCCACCTAACACAGCTGTCATGACCCCTTAAGCCTCCCCTGGAAAGAGGTGACTGGAGACTTTGCTTGGTTTTCTAGGATCTTATCAGCTGCCAGCACTGGCTAATATTGGAATGTCCCTCAGTGTGGTAATGTGGTTGGCCCATGTGGAGGTTCTGAGACTATAGGAGGAGACTTTGCCTTTTCCAGTGGCTCCTTACTTGCAAGCCTTGTCACTGTGGATTTGACTTAGGTCCCCAGAATACCAACTGCCTCCCAGCTGTCTTTCTTCCATTGTCCCCAAGGTATGCCCTTTGGAGCATAGTCACTGAATGCAGCAATAGCTGAGATACTACCTGTCTGTCTCCTCTTTCCAGGGCAAGATGCCAAATAACTAAGTAACTTGTGGGACTCTCTTGTGTAGATGAATCTCTGTAGGGACATTGCCCTACGTGACTGAAAGGCATGGATCAATGGAGGTCTTGACCGCGTGTCTCTGGTAAATCTCCCCTTCTGTTTATTTGTTATTTATCGTTTTGTGCAATACTGGGAATTGTTTCTTGGGCCTTGTACATGCTAGGCTCTATCAATGAGCTATATACCCTTGGTTTAGAAACAAAGTGTCGCAATGGATCCCAGAGCTCCCCCAAGTGCTGAGATTGTAGGAACAGGCCACCATACCCAGCATTTTACCATGTTCTTAACTGCTGGTCCCTCATGGTGCTGCATGACTTCATGTTTACCAGCTGGTTCAGAGTGTGCACAGTGTGGTCTAGTCCACTGAAGAAAGACTACTCTGTCATAAAAAGGACTGGTGGACTGACACATGTTGCAACACAGGGGAACCAAGGGTCCATGTGTTGTATGATTCCAACAGCATAAAACATCCAGAAGAGGCAAATCCTTAGGGATGCAACGTAGGCCGTAGGCTTTCCACAGGTTGGGGTCAGGACTGTCAATGGGACAGGATTGGTCTCTGGGACAGACACAGATGTTGGCGAAAGCTGTGGATACCCAAGTGACTGAAGGGGTAAATTGTGAACATGTGAATTAGCAGAAGTCTGAGTAGCGCGTTGGCTTTGGGCTCGTCTGTCTGCTCTGTCTCACTGTTAGGTCAGCCATTTCTCTCAGCACAGAGCAGTTTCAGGGGTCGAGAGCACTGGAAGGTGTGCTGCGTGTCTGACCAGATATCAGTCTCTCTGTCTAGTCTGCAACTGGTGGGACCCTCTATTTACCGTCAAGAGTATTATTGATCTTGATCGTTCCGATGACAAAGAAGGGTTGGAAAGACTGGGACGGACCTAATACCCACAGGAGTGTGGATGCATGCTAGCCAAGGTCTCTGATTGTAAGTACATCTCAATACCCTATCTCTCCCCTGAGAAAGAGCCTAGGTCTCCTGTTCTTCTACCACCTGATTCCAGCATCAGCCTTGTGCTCCCAAGCTATCCTGCTTTCCCTGAAAAGAGGGGTCCCCTGTGGGGCACCTTGATACAGGAGCCTCCAAACCTACCTTCTCAAGCCCCCAATCCCAACACCTGCCTGCTGCCTGAGGGGCCTGACTTCGAGTTCTGATTTCATGCTCACTAGACTCAGTTTATTCCCTGGAAAGAGAGAGGAATTTAGGACGGACTGAGCTACAGGTCCTTCACTAACTAGACAAAGTCACTCTGTTCAGGTGCCCACTTTCTCCTTACTGGCTTGCCAGCTATGCCTGAGAGGAACTCTGGCAGCTCCAAGGGGTGCAGAGAGGTCTGGGAGTGACAGGCAGAAGACCTGTGGCCTCACAAGGGCCTGAGCTGTGGTTTATAAAGTGCAGTTGGGCCCCAGCATCTGTTTCCACAGGCTCTATCTCTAAGCATTCAACTCACCTGGACCAAAACTCTTGAGTGTGCGTCAGGGGGTGGGGAAGGGGTACATCGAGACCTTCTTCTCAGTCACTGTCCCTTAAGGGATAACAACTTTTACAGCATCCACACTGGATGGGCCATGCTAGGCAACCAAGAATTGGTTTATTGTGAATCACAGAGCAGGCCCGGTCATACACAAACCTGTGTTACCTTACATACCGGGTTTAGACGTTTGAAGATGGGCTGTGCAGTGAACTTCTGGTTGGATGGTTGCACTGCTTCCCATAGAGTGAGTTCAGACACTATGAAATGGCTGTTCTGCCAAGTTCCCAGCACAGGTGGGAAAAGGCAAAGCAGAAGGGTAGCCAGGGTCTCCAGACAAAGTATACGGGGGCAGACTTAGGTGCTTGGTTTTACAGGAAGGTCTTGGGCACTTGATAGGGACCCAGCTCCTTGGATCTGGCACAGATGGTTGGTTCATGCCAGGTTCCCTCACATGCCCTCAACTTCCCAGGAATGGGAGTCTTGTCCTCTGTTGGCATCTGGGAGTAGAGGCTAATGCCAGGCTAGAAAGATATATGTTAATTATGGACCAGCTAGGAGAGTTTAGGCTATAACTAGCACCCAGCCAGCTGCAGAGAGTGGGACTCAGGTAGGTCATTAGCTTAACAAGAGGCTATCACAGACAGCTACAGCCTGGACATACTCCAGCCCCACCCCAGTAGGTCCCACCCTATGGCTCTCTTCTTCCCATTGGTCAAGAGTGTCGTACCTTACCCCATGGAGGCTACAGAACCTTGGCTCCTTAAAAGTCCTTTGAGATTGGTTAGGGTCAGCATTTATCAGTTCCCTCTGAAAGGACATACCACCCTTGAAGATCTCCAAATTAGCGACCTTGACTTAAGAGACAACCTGTGTGATCCAGCCTACATTGTCAGCCAGACTACTCAGAAGCCATCAGGTCCTGGCCTGCTCTCTGTGTCACACTAGCTAAATTTCTACTTTCAAGATTAGGTTCCACTCACACTTGGAAGTGCAGCTGCCTTGCAGCTTCTCCAGGACCTGGCTCAGCTGCCATCTGACCACAATCACTTCTGTTAGTGTGGGTCCTACCACACATGTGCACACAGGCACCATCCCAAGCGCCTGTGCCTGCATTCTGCATCAGTGGCTCCCAGCCTGATACCAGATTTGCGTACTCCTGATGCCTCTGCCTCTCAAACTCTCCCTTTTTCCTCTCTCACAGAGCCCTGTGGCTGTGCAGGTACAGGGATGGAGACACATTCCAGGAAGTGACATGTTTCCTGCTCTGAGGTGCCCATCTGGGGTCCACCCATAGGAAATATTAAGCTTGTGGTCACAGTCCTAGTCCTACCTCTTTTCTTTAGGCCTGTGATCAGGGTCCATGTACTGCTGACTAACACGAGGTCTGTCAGCTCCATCACCTCATTTCTGTCACTATGTCACTGCTAGTCATCTGGAAGCTAAGCAAGCAGACTCCCTGGCCTGACAGAGAGTGGTATCCCAGAGGGTTGAGTCCCAGCTCCAGACCAGGGAATGTGGAGGCTGCTGTGTGTGCAGCTGGGCTGTGGGGCTCACTTCCCATCACCATCCACATGTAGAAAGTCCCAAGCTCAGAGACGACGTGCGTCTGTGGGGTGGGTAAGCAGAAAAGAGACTGGGGAATACCAGGAGTCACCACCAACACCACCTCATTGGTGAGCAGCATATCAAAGCCCTAGGGACACGGAAGTGGTCAGAGATGGGATCCTCTTAGTTCTCACAGGGCGTTCTGTGTGCTCCTGACAAAGGTCAGTTCCTCTTCAGTGGAAACAAATACATCCCAAACCATGACAGTCCTAAAGGATCTGAGAAATGACTCAAGTAAGATGTCAGAGCTGCCTAGAGGACATGGTGTGAGGTCAGATTCGGACTCTACAACCCTGGTGCTGAGGAGAGAAAGTCATGTCCCTGCTCCTCTGGGTGTTTGACCTCACCTCTCCCCTCTCCTTGACCACTACCCCTTGCCACTCACAGCCTAGTGAGGTCCCCAGCGTCTGGATCCAGCTTACGGGAGACAGAGAAGAGGCCCTTAGGGTTCTGGGCCTCTAGAAGACATCTAGAAAGCGATTCAGGCTCTGTGTGGGTACCTCTTAGGCACAGGTCAGGGTAGGGGCTAAGAAGAATGTTTTGGTAAAGGTAGTTTGCCTGAGGGGGAGTGTATTCTTGGCACAAGGCTACCCTGGATGAGGGTTGGAAGCTGTGTGCACACTGAGATGGAAGGAGCCGGCTTCTCCCATTAAGGTGGATTTGCTCTCTCTCTGATTTGATGGAGAACACAGAGTGGAGGGACTGTGATACTCAGGAAAGCCAGTCTTCAGACCCCCAAGGGAGAGCCACATTCTTCTCAGACTTCAAGACAGGGCTGTCACTGCAGACCCCCTTCCTTCTCCTGAGTTTCTCTGGGGTCTTGGTAACCAGAAGGGGAGGCTGCTGGCTCAGGACCAAAGAGCAGGCCAAAGGGCACCTTGGAGGTGGGCTGAAGGAGCCTGGGTGACATGAGTCAGGCCAGCCCTGCTGCCCCAAGCTCATCCTCCAGACAAATTACCAGGTTTCCCAGGTACCCTGTGGCCTTATAAAGGCACCCTCTCCCTGGTGGCTCCCAGTTGCTGGTGGAAGTTCATGATGAGGCCCCTCCTGGTGCTGTTGCTGCTGGCTGTTGTATGTACTTCTCTGGGTAAGGCAGTGGGTATACCTGGTTTGAGGGGAGGCAGGCAGCCTCTGGGAAGGGTGAAGAAGTCTGGGGCTGGTGGGGCTTCAGGTCTGAAAGAGAGGGTACCATTTAGGGCACTGGTCTGGTAAGCAGGTTGCAGGGGGATGAGAGAAGGCTTCTATGGTGACTCCCTGCCCAACTAGATTGGGAAACCTCCTCCTTTTAGATAGTATGTGGTACCTTTCTGGACGTTTGTGTATGTTGGGGGAGTGTAAAAATAAAGGGGAAAGGACAGAGGTGCAGGAAGAGGAAGTATCTTGGGTACCACTTGTGAGCATTGGGTTTTGGGATTTAGCAAGAATGGTCAACTCTCTCCCCCCTCTTCTCAGCATAAGGCACTCCTGGAATATAGGACTCTTTGTGTTAAAAAGGAAGGAAGGAAGGAAGGAAGGAAGGAAGGAAGGAAGGAAGAAAGGAAGGAAGGAAGGGCAGAAGGAAGGAAGAAAGGAAGGAAGGAAGGACAGAAGGAAGCAAGGAAGGAAGGAAGGACAGAAGGAAGGAAGGACAGAAGGAAGGAAGGAAGGACACCAACAAGACATAGGTCAACCCCTCCGGCCCACTCTGCCCTGACTCTGATGACCTGGTTTAGGGACAGAAATGAGGCCGGAGGTGGGAGAGATGTGCCTCAGCCTGTGATTATCAGTGGAATAATTATCATCTCCAGGATAATTAGCCCCATCAGCTTCCCCTGAGTGTGAGGAGGGGGCGGAAGGAAAAGAAGAGGGCCCTGGGAAGCCATCTAGCCATCAGGTGCACGTGAAGGAGGGTAGAAAGGCAGGTGGAGAGACACTGGTCAAGGCTGGAGGCTGGCCTGCGGAACAGAGAGGAGGTCAGGATCAGGTTGGGAGCATCATTTAGGAAATGTGGAGAGGAAGATACTTGGGAGCATCAGACCAGGGACAGCCACTAAGCAGGGAACATCAGCCCTGGAAGCAGGAAGCAAATACAGGCAAGGAGGGTGAGAGGTTTGAGTCAGAAGGTGGGGACCCTGGCTGGCTGGGACACTTTTGTCCTCAAGGCTCAGCTTTCCTGGAAGATTGGTTGACCTTATAGCAATCCTGCAGGGCAATGCTTACTGGGAACTCATTGTGGGGCTCTGAAGGCTTAAGGAGAGTAGCCCAGGAACTCTCACCAGCTCCTAGGGTAGAAGATCTCTGGGGACCACAATGAAGAAACTGGGGTACTATGAGGTCCTTGCCTAGAATAACTTAGAAGTGTCTCCTCAGCCAAACAGGACTGGGAACTAGTATGTAGAGATACTATATGGAGTGAGAGATCATAGCTAAGAGACATTCCCAGTGAGGAAGCCATTCTCACAGTATATCCCTTATACAGAAAAAGAGTGCCACAGACACCCCCCAGCTCTCAACACAGGGCCTCCACAGCTTCAATACTGATGACTCTTATGTGGGAGGTAGAGTTACCTAACTCCACAGGTAAAGTTGACAAGGTCCAAGGAAGTGTTCACTGTTAGGTCACCTGTTGTTAGGACACCGGTTACCCAACGCTCTTACAAACAAACTCCTACAGGACAAGTTCCTGTAAGGCATTTCTACAGGACACACCTGCTATTCAATACTCTTAAGCGAAATTCTACAGGACACCCCTCCCAAGGCCTGGCACCAAGAAGCTCAGCCTTTGTACCAGAACCCCTAGCATGTTTTGTTGCAGCTGAGGAGTCCTTGGAACCCCCCAAGCTGGCCTTGGCTCTGCACTTCAGGACCATTGGCCAGTGCAGCTGTTCTCAACCAGACACAGAAATTCACCCATGTAGGCTCAGGTGTGAGGCTTCCCAGGTTATCCTTCCCTCTCATAAACCAATATTGCCTCTCAGCAGAAGTCACCATGGAATAATCGCTGTACCCTCTGCCCAGGCCATCCTTATGGGAATCTCACTGCCCAATGAGTCAGCCATACCTGGGTAACCTGTGTTCTCTTGAGGGGGCCTCTTGTCATTTTTTTTTTTTTTGTGGTTGGAAGTTGTGGCCAATGTCACAGCATCTGGAATTACCCACCTCAGGGGCCTGCCTATGTCCCTAACACTGGCAGACTTTCATTGAAGCTTCTGTCTTCAGCCTGGAGGTGAGACAACAGGTCTTGGGCAGAATGGGGCAGGGTCAGACTGTTTCCTTTCCACCTCTAAGTTCCTAATGATGTTTAGAGACTCAAAAAGTTGTGGCTGCTAGCTTGTCCTGGTTAGGAAGCCATCTGTCTCTAGGAAGGCAAACTGTCTCAGCCCTTGAAGCTCCCTTCACTCCTCTTCCAAGGAAGGAAGAGTAAGAGCCATGCACATTTTATCACCTGAAAAGACCAAGAACATTACTAATGTTCTTGGGCACCATGGATTGCATTAAGGGGTCACAAGAATTAGAGGTTCTAAATCACCCTCTTTATATTTCTTCCTGATACTCCAGGCCTTCTGCCATCTACTATCTATCCCTCCATTCATGTACCTACCCATCCATCCGCCCATCTTAACATCCATCTACCCATCCATCCACTCACCTACTTACCCATCCATCCACCCTTGTGTTCATCTTACCATCCATCTGCCCATTCATCCAGGCACCCATTCACTATCCATCTATTCATCTATGCGCCCATTCTTCTGCTTATCCACTCATATTGCATCCATTCACTCATCTATCCATCTAGTCATTATAGCCACACACTTACCCATCCATCCATCCACTCACCCGTTGATCCATCGATCCATCCATACATCTATCCATCCATCTATCCATCCACCCACCCATCCATCCATCTATCCACCTACTCACCCATCGATCCATCCATCCACCCACCCATCCATCAATCCATTCATCCATTCATTTGCCCATCTAGGCATCCATGCTACCTTTCTGCCTATCCATCTGTCCACTCATCCAACTATACATACATATTCCCATCTATCTATCCATTCACCCATCTCCCATCCCCTATCCATTCATCCATCCATTCACCCACCTACCCACCCACTCATATGTATATATACACACATACATCTACCTACCCATCTGATCCTGCTCCTCCCCCCACATTTAGCTGATAAAGCTCTCCTACCCTCATTAATGTTCTCAGACTCCTTGACAGAGAGATAAACACAGAGCAGAGAGGCAGATTAAGTGTGGGAGTTCATAGGTGCCTGAGAAGCTTTAGGCGGAAAAACCTCTGAGTCTAGCCTGAGGGTAGCATGCCATCACATCACATACCTTCCTGTAACTTAAGCTGACACTTTGATACTGACATACACAGGGTCAGAGGGGATACAGGGAGGAGCATATCAGAATCACTACCATGAATGTCCTAGCTTCTCAGACCCTCCCAGAGGACTGGGGGAACTCTTGGAGGGAAGAGGAGGATCAGAGAGTATGACCTTGAGTGGGCCACTAGGCAGGTGGCTGGGCACTTAGCCCCAGCCCCAGCCCAGACTGATGGCCTGTGCTTCCCCCCAGCCCGGGCCCTGCACTGTCATGTGTGCTGTGGGCACGAGAACTGCGAGTCTCTCGTGGAGTGCGCCTTGACGGACAAGTACTGTGTGATCACTCGGGCCAGTGAGTACCCTGGGCCATGCAGGCCCCATCTCGCCCTACCGGCAGTACACAAGTGCTTTCCAGCCCCCTTTGGCCTCTTTCCATCCTCCACATCAGAAGCCCTCAGGATCCTCACTTCAGACCCTAGGGGCACCATCACTCTTTAGTTTACAGTTTGAACTAGGCTGACGATTAGGTGTGATGGCGCTTGGATATAAGTTGAAATATTGAAGATACTGGCATCACAGCCTGGTATTCCAGGCCCTTCTGGATCTTTACTACTCATTCAAATCCCTGTCTAGAATCAGCCAGCCATAGCCTTTGCCCCTGGCTACCCTGTCATGGCTCAAGAATTCAATCCTGCCACTGTCGAGAATCCCTGACTTGTAGTACTGTCCCTTGCACTTCCCAGGCCAGACTCTCTCCTTCCTACATCCCATGGGCCATCTGCTTCTCTTCTGAGCAGTATGGCCTAGCTGGAGCCTCAAGCTTGCATTTTGGGCTATGATGGCTTTCAGGCTTGATGCTGGAATAGCTGGGAGGCAAGGCTCACTTACCTGAAGTGGTCCCAGAAGAAAGCACGGGTGTTAGCAGAGAGGCTGACAATCTTTTCAGACTCTGAGGATCCAGGTGGACAATGTCACCTATAGGTCTCAAAGGGTTTAGGGGTTCCTTCTTTACTTATCCCATTGGTATTGGGTCATGAAGCCTTTGGCCCCAATGAATGAAAGTTGCTATGGACATTAGGTAGCTTCATCCAGGATGGAATTCTGGGAAGAGGGGAAGGAAGCCAGGTGGCTTCCCAGTATGGCCTGGGATGTCCACATGAACAGTTTCCTACAAATCCCAGTGGTGACATGGCCCTTCTAGCTCAGACTTGGAGTCATCCCTATTTTATGAAGAGCCAGACAATCTAATCCTAGTAGAGCCATACAAATACACAGCACAGACCGTATGTGATACTTCTGTCTACACTCTGGCTGGTTCTTGTGCTGCTTGGCCTGTAGGAGGAAACATCATATGCTCCACTGCCTCCAGGACCCTCCTCACCCTGCAGAGGAGCATCCTGCCCAGAGGCAGCTGCCCTTAGTCATCCATAGTCGTGCTGCAAGAAGTAAAGACCTAGTGGGTTGCAGGTCCAGCGGTTGCCCAGGGCACAAGGCAAGAACATAAAGGACAGGATCTTTAGCCAGCAGCGGAAGAATGCCATGCCAACAGCCAAAATCTAACAAAGACCTAATCAGAGGGGTGCTGCTGAAGTAAAAATGGAAAACAATGAGGACCCGAGGGTACATGGGAATCAGAGTTCCCCACAGTGCCATCCTGAGCAACAGCTTCCATCTGGTATCTCAGGCCTCCTGCCCTGTCCTTGGCCTTCTGGTATTTGCCCCTTACTGAGCATGCATCTATCTGGCCTGTAATCTGTCCATCTACCTCCCAGAGTGTCTGCTGAATGTGGAAACACCGAAAGACGTGGAGCCATTGCTTACTCCAAGTCCTCAGAGGTCACAGTCAAGCAGAGTTGAAAGCTATCCTTCAGAAGGCAGCAGAGTACTCTGGAGAAGCAACAGGGGCTGGGGACAAGAGCTTTTGGTAGGAGAGTCCATTATGGGTAGAAAAAGGCATCTGTTCCCGCCCCTGTCCAGTGAAGTAACACAGGCAAGCCAAGGGTCTTCCTGGCCCCAGGGTGAGGAGGAAAAGGGGTGCAATGGTATCAATGGTCTGCTGCAGATGCTGTGTGTTAGTCCCATGGGTTAAGGGACCCCTCTGGCTGCTGGGTTTCAAGAGAGAGAGGATAGATGGGTTACCAGGGCGTCTCTCTCTCTCTCTCTCTCTCTCTCTCTCTCTCTCTCTCTCTCTCTCTCTCTC